TTTGGCAAGAAAGGATTTTTCCAACTCTGTCCAACTTTATATGTTCGAAACGTTCTTTTATCCTAATTTTAGCTATTTAAAATATTCAAAGTTAAATCACCTATCTGTGGTACATTGTCTCCATAACAATATCATGACAATCCTCCCTTCTCTCTAGTGATAGTAGCCTTCCCTCTCGAGAAAGACGGAAACCTCTCGGTTTCCCCGAAGTCGACCGAAATGGAGGCGTAATAAAATCGAAGGTTGCGCGTTGCTATCGAGCCGGGATCTCGGCTCGTCCCGCGTAAATTTAGAACATTGTTTTCCGCAGCTCGCGTTTTCACCGTGAGCAATCGCCTCCTAAATCCAGAGCGTAGCCTAATCCACCTCGCTTTTTCTTTCTTTCTTTCTTCTCGCGAGATGAAGGTTAATCCCTTTTTAAATATCCAGCCCTGCCTTTTCCCTTGTCTTTTTTTTTAATCCTTCAGTTTGGGGAAAATATAGACCGAGACTGTACAACACTTGGTGATTTAGAGGTTAGGAGGAGAGACACGCGAGAAAGAGGACCTCGAAATTTTTATTTCAATCTCAAGTACTGGAAGATTATTTTCTGCTATCTTTCTGATTCTGAAATCTCCAATTTGTTGTATTGAACTTATTGTTAGAAAAGAGAGATGGATACATGCATACGTGTGTTATTTGGAATTTTTAAATTTTCGTTTCAATATCTGGCTTTAACACAGATGGAGTTTAGAATTTGATATTTTGGAAACATTATTTTTGTTCCTATAATTTGTTAAACTTGTAAAATCCAATGGTATTGTTTGTGTTTAAAGAATTTATTAAATTTACACTCCATTTGGCGATTTAAATATCAGATAAACAGATAAATGTTCACGTGTACCTGTCGTAAATTTTGAAAAATTATTTTTATTAAATGGAATTCTATTAAAAATTATTGTGAAATTTACCACTTGTAAACTATCCATTTGCAACATGTAATTACTGTAATTGCAGAAATATTCCAGACAAAATATTCGCTAAAGTAAAATTCAATCCAAATAAATACTCTGAGTTTTAAATGTCAGTCACTTCAACAACGAAAACAATTTCCTATAAATAACCAAATATTATATATTTAGAATTATTCCGCGACTATCGAATTACTTGTTCAAAATTACGAGTTGTTCGTGTCTCGTAAAGAGAGTAAACACGTTAAATGCATCGACGAGTGAAAGGATGAATCCCGGCCACACAGAACGAGGCATAAAACAATGTGACATAATGCGTTTCCCTGTTGCTTCGCGAGGCGACAACAACTGTATTTACGCCAATAAATTGCACTCTGGGTAGCGTTTACTTTCGATAAATTACAGGCCGACTGTCGACATCGCGTTGCCATTGTTTTGACTACTTTTGAGAAATTGACGGTGACTCGGTGAAAGTCGAATTCAAGCGTGAACAAAAATATCGGTGAACTTCTTTCAAAAAAAAAAAAAAAAAAATATACACGCGTGTATTTATATAAATGTTAAGAAAGTTTCACTTTTAAATAAAACTGGAAGGAATGAAATTAGAAATTATTCTTTTGCTTAGATTTTTTTAATTATTTAATCATTTCTTACCTAGAAATTATCGTTTCCCAGTCAAAGAAATCTTTTTTCACGATTCTCTCTGATGCGAAATTTTTATATTTATAACATGATATTAAATGAATCTTAAAACATTGATGCTGTAAATTCAGAAACTTCGTTTTAGATTTCAGATGTTTGTAAAACTTCGCGATTTAATCTAAGAACTTCACCGCGTCGCTAGATTACCAATATATTTATGTACATTTATGAAAAACTTGAAAATTGCGGAACGAACGAATGGAAAGTCAATACATAGAAATTTGAAATGAAAGTACAAAAATTAAAAATTACAAAACACACGAAATATGATAGAAAATACAACGTATAATGTAACAAAAAGATAGGAGATACTCGTTAGATATATGCAAATAATTCACTCC